CTAAGGCACTTGACTGCTAATCAGAAGGCTGACGGTTCAAACCCACCAGCCGCTCCTCGGAAGGAAGGTTGGGCAATCCTACTTCCGTAGTGATACTGCCTCGGAAACCCAAGGAGGGGTCACTATGAGTCAGGGCCAACTCGACGGCAAACAACAACAACAACAGATGGAGTAGCACATGGAAGGTATTTGGGGATATATCCCTAAAGCAGTCACCTTTTCATGATAGAAAAAGATTGAGATGTACTTGGTAAACCATAATTCTCTTAAGAATTTGTAAAAATCTGCACACGTGAGGACTGAATCAATTTTAATTTTTTCTTTTACTCAATTTATATGCTATCTATCTGATTGCTCCCACCATTACATTGACACCCTCTTCCCTGAAAGTAAATAAATAAACATAGGGGAAAAATAATAATGGAGACCATCTGTACTGTCAAAGGTTGAGTGGGTTCCATATTATCCCAACATTTAAAGAAAGAGCATGCAAAAGCCTCAAAACTTATGTAGTTAGCTGGTGAGGATGTTCTAGGGTAACTGTAGAAATCAGTGCTGTCTACCTTTGAGAATATGGAAGACAGAATTTTGATAGAGTGAGAATTTGATAATGTGTGTAGTCATAGAACCAAGTGCCATAGCGAGAGAATTTATCTAGACTTTCTGAAGTAGATGAATCTAGACAAGATTTATGAGGGAATTGGATGTTGTAGTTTGAAAATGTTCTCCATGTGTTTCTGATAATCCCTCATCATGTACACCTGTTTCTAAACCACCGGCTTATGGAATCAAGCAGAATGGTTGTGTATCAAATTCCAGTCAGTTAAATGCAATCTTCTTTTTATCCTCTCAGTCTTAGAGACAGTTCAAATATTGTATTTCACTGATTTATAAGGTGAATAAGGTCAGTCAGGAATAATAAACAAAGAACAGATAAATTTGAGCTCATATATGTGCTATAAATTTAATCAAATTACTGTGAAAAATAATCTTTGTCAGAAGAGTCAGCTCTAGTCTGACAACTCTTGGCCTGAGTACTGAATATTCTTTCCTTTTAGCTGATTTCACACAATAAAGAAATCTTTAAAATTTTAGGATATTTTCACTTTTTTCTTAGAGATATATTTTATGGAGTAGGTATTTATTATTATACCTCTTATTCCTTAAAGAAGACTTATGCAAAAATTTATTATTTTTAGTAAGTTCTATCACTGTTTAAAACCAAAAAAACCAAACCCACTGCTGTCAAGTCGATACCAACTCATAGTGACCTCTGTGGGGTTTCTGAGGCAGTAAATCTTTATGGAAGTAGATTGCCCAGTCTTGCTCCCATGGAGTGACTGGTGTGTTTGAACCACCAATCTTCTGGTTAGCAGTCAGATGCCTTAGGCACTGTGCTACCAAAGCTCCTTTATCACTGTTTAGAAGTGATAAAATAGTTATGAAAGCACAATTCGGAAAAAAATGGCACTTCCATTAAAGAGTGAGCTACACCAAAAAAATATGGGATTTTTACCCTGTAGGAGGGACTTTTTCTTTTGTAGTGGACAAAGATAGAAAGGAACTTTGTGAAATGCCTGTTATTAAATAACTATTTAAATATATGCAAATAAATACTTGGGAGGTTTTTTTCTTTTAATTATTTGTTAAAATGTATATAATATATGCTATATATTATATATACCTACCCCTCACTTAGGAGCTCTGGTAGTGTAGTGCCTAAGGCACTTGACTGCTAACCAGAAGGCTGGCGGTTCAAACCCACCAGCCACTTCTTGGAAGGAAGATGGGGCAATCTACTTCCGTAGGGATACTGCCTCAGAAACCCAAGGAGGGGTCACTATGAGTCAGGTCTGACTCGACAGCACATAACATCAAAAACAACCCCTCACTTATCAACATAGTTAGGTTCCAAAGACCCGGTTGTTATGCAAAATTCAGCATTATGTGAAAGTGAAGGATAACAACATCAGATCACAAAATGAAGGATGACTACATCATTACATAACTGGCAAATTACATTACTACATATCTGCCAAATTACACCATTATATAACTGCTAAACCACTGAGAATCATGGCCCAGCAAATTTGACACATAACCTTAACCATCCAGCCAGCGTTACTCTTACCTTGCACCTTGGTATTTGTTATGCTAGGCATACATTGGTAATGTGCAATGTAGTGAGATAGTAGGTATTTTACTAATATTGTAAATGTGAGATGTCAGGTAATGAGATAGTCAATAAAGGAGGAGTACATGTATAGTATGTTGTTGTTGTTGTTGTTATGTGCCATTGAGTCTGACCCAACTCGTAGCGACCCCTCCTTGGGTTTCTGAGGCAGTATCACTACGAAAGTAGATTGCCCCATCTTCCTTCCGAGGAGTGGCTGGTGGGTTTGAACCTCCAGCCTTCTGGTTAGCAGTCAAGTGTCTTAGCCACTATGCTACCAGAGCTCCCACATATATAGTATAGTATATATTATATAATTTAATAAGTATGTTTATTTAAATATATTAAAATGTGTTTAGTAAATAATATAATAATACAATTTATTTCAAAAATTATATAATAAGGACACTTGGCATACTACTTTTTATAGGAAATGCTGATGGACTTCTGATCTGGAGACTTTGTGGACATTCACAACCTACAGTGCCATTGGTCATACCTTATACTCAGGTCTGGATACACTTTGTCACCAATCAACATGTAGAACACATTGGATTCCATGCAGAGTATTCATTTACAGGTAAGACTTATGATTAAGTTCTCAAACACTAGTGATAAAGTAATGGATAAAAGCCTCAATAAAGTTTTATAATTTTTTTCCATGAAGATCTCATGTACCTTTTGTTAGGTTTATTTCTAGAAAGCTATTAGTTTTGTTGTCAATGTCAATGAGATTTTCTGAAGTAAATTTTCTAATTGGTTGTTGCTGATATATAGGAATTGTTTTATTTTTATACATTGACTTTCAGAGAACTTGCTACACTCTTATTAACATTTTGTCTACGGATTCTCTTTAGTTTGTCTGTGTAGACAATCATATCTTCTGAGAATAATAATACTTTTTATCTTTCAATCCCAGTACTTCATTTCTTGCCTTATTTCATTGGCTAAGTCCACCATCATACTACTGAACAGAAGAAATGATAGCATCTTGTTTCTGACCTTAGTGGGAATGTATAACATAACATTGTTAAATATATTAATTGATCTTAGATTTTCAATAAAATACCTCTCATCAGATTGGTATTTGTTATGCCAGGCATACATTGTTAATGTGCAATATAGTCAGATAGTAGGTATTTTACTAATGTAAAAGTGAGATGTCAGGTAATGAGATAGTCGATAAGTGAAGAGTACATGTATAGTATAGTATATATTACATAATTTAATATGTATGTTTATTTAAATTTATTAAAATGTGTTCAGTAAATAATATAATAATACAATTTATTTCAAAAATTATATATATTATATAACTTTTTAATTCTTAGTGTACAAGAAGTTTTTTTAAAAAATCATAAATGGGTATTAAATTTCATAAAATGATATTTCTTCATCTACTGAGATCTTGATTTTACCTCCTTTAATATATTAATGTTGTAAATAATTTTAAAAGACATTTCCCTTGTTAAACGATTCTTGAATTTCCAGGATAAACCCTTCTTGGCCTTGATAAGTGTTTGTACATTTTATTGGATATTGTTTACTAATATTTTATATTGGATTTGTATCTGTGACATTCATAATTTTACCTGAAATTTCAACCCAAGACGGACAGCACTACTCCTTGCTGCTTCCCTTGGCCAGTAGGCCTTTTTCTAATTCCTTTGCACTGACATGGCAATCCTTTTTGATTCCTAACAAAATGTAAAAGTCTTAGTTCCAGCCTTTCCTTTGGGGAAAAAAAAAAATTCACCACAGTCAAGTTGGATCAGATTCATAGTGACCCCTCCTTGGGTTTCCGAGGCAGTATCGCTACAGAAGTTGATTGTCCGCCCAATCTTCCTTCCAAGGAGTGGCTGGTGGATTTGAACCATCAGCCTTCTGGATAGCAGTCAGATGCCCTAGGCACTACACCACCAGAGGTCCTTTTATGGGGGTCCAAAGCCATATCTTCTCTTCCTTCCTGGCAGTGAAACCTCAGCTCCTAACCCCTGGGACCCATGTCTTGGCTCTGTATCCTCTCTGACTGCCTTATGCTCAGTAGAAGATTATCCTTCTAAATTTGAATTCACTTAATGCTTCTGAAAGGAGCCTGGTGGCACAGTGGTTAACTGCTCAGTTGCCAAGCCACCAGCCACTCTGTAGGAGAAAGATGAGGCAGTCTGCTTCCATAAAGATGAGGCAGTTCTACTCTATGCTATATGGTCACTATGAGTTGGAATCGACTCGATAGCAATGGGTTTAGGATTTATTGCTTATGAATTTTTAGACATCTTATTTTCTTTCCAGGAGTTCTGGTAGCGTAGTGCCTAAGGCACTTGACTGCTAACCAAAAGGTTGGCAGTTCAAACCCGCCAGACACTCCTCGGAAGGAAGATGAGGCAATCTACTTCCGTAGTGATACTGCCTCGGAAACCCAAGGAGGGGTCGCTGTGAGTCGGGTCTGACTCAATGGCACATAATAACAACAACATTTTCTTTCCATTGAGTTTGGCTATATTATAATATATTTTTGTTATAGTTTTGTCTAACATTTCTTTGTGTTATAACCAAATGTTTGCTTGGAGAAGGGAGTAAGACTGATTAGTATCTAGTCACTCAAGCATCTTGGCAGTTAAGTATTTACTACATTGAAAGAAAGGAGCCAGGCCTCGAGAAACACTATTACTTGTGTTAAACATCAGATCATACTGTGCTTTAGAAATATCTCAGTGTTTTGACTTGTAAGCTAATGTGTAATTTGATAGATGACTTGTAAATATATGTGCTTAATATCAAACAACATAGTTTCTAATTATTGTACTGATCATAGTCTTCAAACTTTTTTTTTGTTTTTTTTTGTTAGTAGTCTGGTTCCTTTCAAGAAGAGCCATGTAATTTACTTTGTCCCTGCTGCACCCTACTGTATTCATTGTCAGCTGTGCACATGTCTAATTCTTTTCCATTTATGATGCAGATTATCTTCATTCTTCTTTGCATTAAACTTGAGCCCATCTTCATTATTTTGAACCAATAGATTATTCTGTTTAATCTTCCACCCAACTTTACTTTGCTTTTATAAAATTTATTTATTCAGTTGTTTTTATTGTGAAGTATGACTGCTATGGGAGCTTTGGTAGCATAGTGCCTAAGGCACTTAATTGTTAACCAGGAGGCTGGCGGTTCAAACTCACCAGCCACTTGTCAGAAGGAAGGTTGGGCAATCTACTTCCATTGTGATACTGCCTTGGAAACCCAAGGAAAGGTCGCTGTGAGTCAGATCCAACTTCACAGCAGTGAGTTTGGTTTCGGTTTTGGTTGTATGACTGGTATAAGGACTGCTTACTTTGGCTTTGCAGATGTTTTTCCTTTTATCTCATTTATAGAGTTATAAATCTAATTTTCAGACTGTGGCGGAATACAGATAGGTGAAAGCGGAGTGATTGCAAGCCCCAACTACCCAGCCTTTTATGACAGCTTGACCCATTGTTCTTGGTTGTTGGAAGCCCCACAAGGCCACACCATCACTGTGAGTTCTAATGACTGGGTAGAATACTTCTGAGGTTATAGAATAACAATACCATATTCTTTTAATAAGCTAGCAATAACAGTAGACTTTGATCCTGTAATCAGTAAACAACATCCCATTGTTTTCTTTGTAAAATTTCCTCGTTAGAATACATGCCTTAGTATCTGCAAGTCTACAATTAGGGATGGCTGAGCTCTCTCAAGCTTAGGAGAAGCTATACATAGATGATAATTCCATGTTCAAGAGAGAGGCGTATTCCTGGTTTTAGTATAAGTTGCCGTCCTAGCCCTGGGGAATAGAATCAGGTCCCCCTGATGACTCCTGTTGCTGGTGAAATACCCCGTCTCGAAACTTTAAAGAGATTTCTTCAACAAGAAAAGAACAAGGGAAAAGAGGGAAGAATTAAATAAGAAAAAAAAATGTAAATGCATATAAATTAAAAAAAGATTTGTAAGGATAGCATCTTCAGAGTAGAAAAGCTCACTTACAGCTTGGAATACCTCATTATTATTATTATTATTATTATTATTTCTCCTCCAGCTTACATTTACTGACTTTGATATTGAATTCCATACAACTTGTACTTGGGATTCAGTCACAATCAGGAATGGTGGCTCTCCTGGATCACCCATAATAGGACAGTACTGTGGAAGTTCAAATCCCAGGACAATCCAGTCTGGCTCCAACCAGCTGGTGGTGATTTTTAACTCAGACCATTCGGAACAACATCGTGGATTTTATGCTACATGGACCACACAAACTTTAGGTAAAAGAAGTATTCTCTGTACTCATCCTTTTAAAAAATTATCTAATTTTTAAATTTTTTAGCTAATACAACAAATATTTTAGCTAATACAACAAATAGGCATTAACTGCCTACTCTGTGGCATGCTGAATGCTAAGTATTTACACACGTCCTCTCTTGTAGTAATCCTGTAAGAAAGACAAAAAGTCAGTACGTATTTCCTTCCTTTTGCATGGGCAAATGCTGAGGCTAGGTGGATTGATAATTTGCCCAAGTCACATAGCTGATAATTGGTAGAGTCAGGTTGAAGTAACAGGCAAGCCCAGAAACATTGATCTTACTACTATACCATGCCACCTCAGTCGGCAAAGGAGCATAACCAAGGAATCGTGAGTAATAGAAGGTGTGTGTTGGAATCACAAGCAGTTTAAAAACAGAGCTGGGTAGTAGGCTGAGGAAAGTAAATTGTCCACATCAGGAGAAGCCTTGGCTTATATGTCATCCCTGAGCAATAAGAAGCCATTGAAGAGTTTTGAGCTGGAAATAAGATTTGTGTATTAGAATAAATGCTCTGCCTCTAAAACTGGTTGGGAATCAAAATATCATAGACTTGATTGAAAATAGTAGATTTGTCCACATAAAGTATAAACTTCATGAAAATTCTCAGAAAATAGGATTTGTATTGATTACTTTGTGTGGGATTTCTGTAAAGCCTTGCAGTACTGCACAAAATAATTCTTACTTTAGATCCAGGTTTATTACAAAGTTCTCTGGAGGATGAGCCAAACTGTCCCTCCTTAAAATACTGACTACTATTGAAGTCAGAGGGGCTTTTTAGATGAACCACTGGTTTTCCAAGTGTTGAAAATTAAAAGATTGAACAAACGCTCTTTAATTTTACTATTGTTTTATTGTTGTCATTTGTTTACTTTCATTTTAGATTGGTTTTAAAAAAATGTTTTTAACTACATATCTTTCTTTGTTATCTCGTAGATAGATATTTTAATATTATAACCTAATTCTAGATTTTTCTTTTTTTTTTCTGTCTGTTACTTATTCCCATCCTTTAATCAGGTTCAAATTTCTTTTTTTTTTAATTGAATTTTTCCCTCCTCAAAATCATATTGTCTAGTTAAGAGCCTTAGAGTAAAATTACAAATGAGTATAGAGTTGTATTCTCATGTGTTAGTGCTAATAAAATATGGAATTTGGCCTTGTTATAGTATATATTATATAACCTCAGGGTAAGTAAGATGTTTGCCATTGTTTGAAGATGGGCTAGAAGTCTGTCCTCTTTATTGTAAGATTTAGCGGTCTCAGTTGAGTTCAGTACAGGTGTAACCAAACCACAACAGCTGAAGTTCCCTCTCAGTTCAATGAGGCTTATATTTATTGAGAGTTCTTGCTGTGTCTTTGCCCAAATACCAATGAATCACCTGTCAGGAAAGATACACAAATCTCACATTTAGAAATGTTCCTTCCCCAGAAGTCTTTAGTTTTAAAAGTGGTTATTCTCCTTGCAGATTAATGAATTTTCTGATGATAATTTTTCAGGCTGTGGTGGAATACTTCACTCAGACAGTGGTACAATCACATCCCCTCACTGGCCTCAGAATTTCCCCGAGAACAGCAGATGTTCGTGGACAGCCATCACTCACGAAAGTAAACACTGGGAGATCAGCTTTGACAACAACTTCCTAATCCCCAGTGGTGATGGACAGTGTCAGAACAGTTATGTGAAGGTTCGTACTCTTGTTTATTTCAATGGAGCTGAACTGGTTTTACCGACATAAACATTTAGACTAGAAATGACTCATTACCTTTCAAAGTAAGAAAAGGATGATTTTGCTGCTTGGATTTCTTGGATGAAAAAGTAAGAAAATGAAAATTTTAAGAGTGAAAACTAGAACCACAACACACACCCTTGTCACTATTTCTTTGTGACTTCTCATTTGCTAATACATAGGCACCTTAACAGTTACAGAGATGGTTCTCCGCCCTTATTAAATTCTCATGAACTTTATAGTCCTTCCTGTGGCAACTCGAGAGAAGACTAGGTTGTTAGTTGGTTTCTTTTCGTTTTGTTTTCTTATAGATTGCTAAAGACATATGCCCTTTGGGCTGTAAGGCACCTTCATAAGTGAAATATAAAGGATGCTATAAAAATCACAGAAAGCTGGAAATGTGACTAGTGCCTGCTTTGGGCCTTAAGAACCCACAGGCAGAAAATGATCATAAGAGAGCCATGTAAAAATTGTGGCAAAGGGCCAGCCAGCAAGGTTCTCTTTCTCTGAAATTATTCTGCTCATGGGACACTACCACATCACTTTCCTTAACTATAACCATGATGACTGAATGATAAATTCACTTTATGTATTTCTTATCTTTTATCTCAAATGCTATTTCTCTAAGAGGCTATGCCTTTTAGTGGAAAAAGCATTGGCTTTAAAGTCATACAGACTGGACTTGAGTCACATCTCTCACACTTGCTACCTGCTTCTTCTTGTGAAGTTAATTAAGGATTTAGGCTTCCAATTACCCAACTATATAATGGAGAGAATAATTCTTACTTTAGTAGGGCTTTTTAATGATTAGAGGAAATAGGACATAACAACAGGAACAGCACTCAATACTCTGAATATAAAACCACCTAATGAGTGGTAGTAACCTTTATGGTCATTGATGTTGTTATTATTTTATAGCATCTCTTGAATTATGTTTTATGTTGCATTGATCCATATTTGCTGTTTAAATGAAAGCTCCATATCTGTATACAATGTACGTTTCATAAAACATTATAATATGTACTCTTACTAATTGCTTTTTATATGAAATAAATGAACTGTCTTCTCATGGAATGTGTCAACATCAGTTTTATAGACTTAACTAAAACCTTGAAAATCCTCCAATTATGAAAAATAGACTTTTAAAAATGACTTGGATAGAGATTTTTGGTTCAGACAAACTGGCATTGGACCTTTGGTCTCCATTCTTCCCTGCTAAACACAATCATAAACCCTAGAAATGGTAAAAAAGACAAAAGTGAACTCTGAAAGCAAATAATTTTCCCTCCACTCAGGACAAATGGTAAGTGTTGCAGCAGCATGCATCACTTTGTTGTCTCCCTCAGTATTTAGAAAGCTTAGCTAGACCATGTCAACTAAGAATGGTTAAGAGGAAACTGAATAGTGATTGAAAAGAACCACTGACAAGCTACATAAAAATGGATACAATCTCCTTGGAGGAGTCAAGAGTGGGATATGCTATAAAAACAACTTAAAAAAAATATTCTCAGAGGCGGGGCAAGATGGCGGACTAGGCAGAAGGATTGCACAGACCCTCTTCAACAAAGAAAAGGGAAACCAATTAACACAGACACAGAAGATAAT